GAGAAGCGGCGCGTAGGTGCGCACCCGGGATCCAAACCCGGGCAGCCAGCGTCGGAGCACACGCACTTAACCGCTAAGCCACAGGGCCGGCCCTCTAAAACACATTTCAATTTCTTATGTTACACTTAACATTCTTACTTTCTCTCTTCTTGATTCAATAGAGGATTGCTTGTCCCTACACAGAAGATTCCAGACTTTCATGTTTATTTGATGTTAGTGATTTTGGCTCTTGTCCCTCCCTTTTTGCTGTGACTTTTTATGTGTTAAGCTTTCTAAGGAATTCTCTACCCCACCCCTCTTTCCCCCCACGCCATAGTTCCTAATCTGTTGAAGCAGAGGAAGAACTTGAGGTTACAAGAGGAAAACAGATACTGAGCTGGTAACTAACACCTTAAAGCAGCAGAATCCAGCTTGAGGATAGTGCCAGTTCCAAGAAAACGGAACTTGAGCTTTCTGATGGCTAACTTCCTCCATTTTTAGAGGTCTTTTTTCATTTACTTTGGGTTCTTGGCTGGACCGAGAATGGTCAAGGATGACAGAAGTATATTCTCAGATAACTGCAAGTATGAATAAGGATTGAGGTCTGAACTGACTTAAACACTACCATGCATTTACTGGAAAAACAGTTGACACAAAACTAAACCTAAGAAGATAAGCTTTAATGGAAATAAAACTTGTTAGTTATGATAAGGCAAGATAAACTAGATCCCTATTTAAAGTTTGATTTTTTTAAAAATTTGACAACAGAATAAAATGATGCTTTTATGATTTACCTGCAAATCCTGAGCACAATACAGCAATAGCTATAGCACCAAACCCTAACAGTGGATTCTGTTCCACCTGCAATAGTAATGTTTTAAAAGTTATTTTTAGTGACTAATAAATAGAATTCATTCAAGAGACCAAATAAATGAATACAAAAATCTGTGTTACAGTTATACTGAAAGTATGTGCCATATCAGACACAGCTATTCTATAGAGTAAGATGGGACCATCCCAGATATTATCCAAAGCACTTAAGTTAACAATGTGTCCCTCAAATTGCAACCATAGTAAATGCTTAATATAACATGTGTACCTATTTCCTAATAACCAGTAGCACCCTAGTATAGAATTTGCATAGTCAGCCTGCCTCTTAATTTTAACTTCTGCCACCATTCTAACTCAACCCTTACAGCATCAATCATGGAAACGGTAACAGTTTAACTTTTACTTATTCCCTATCACTTACAGGATGAAGTAATGACTTTTAAGATTTCCTACTTTACTGAATTTTTATCAAATATTAATAGCATACCTGCTATGTACCAAATATACTGTGTTATATACTAAATAAATAAAGATGAAGATGATACACAGCTCTGGTTCTTAAATAGTTCATGGATGGGAGAGATTGACGGGTATATATAATCATAATACTGTGCTAACAGATGCATGTATATGGGCCCCAACCTACTGTTTCAACTTTATGTCCTTTTTCTTCCCTCAAGTAACCCTCAGGAGCTTTCATCAGTCTTTCCTCAAAGATAAATAGTATCTCAGTAGTAACAGTGAAACTAAAGGGTTGAGATGCATGACTGTAATGTTTGACAAGCACATACCTTGTTCAAAATAAATAAACCTGATATAAGTACCTGAGAAAGAAAGTGTGGTCTAAAACATTTGCATGAAGATAAAAGGAGAAATAGAAGATATTATGGACTAGTGGTTCTCAAAGTATGGTCCTTGGAACAACAGCAGCATCATCACCTGGGAACTTGTTAGAAATGAAAATTGACAGCCCCCACCCCAGACCTACTACATCATAAACTATGGGGATGGGGCCCAGCAATCTCTTTCAACCTTCCAGTTGATTCTGCTATACACTGAAGTTTGAGAACCACTATTATAGACTACAGTTGATAAACACGGATACTTTCCTAATACAATCTATAAGAGTGGCTAGATATGAGAAGAAAATAACAGTCTGAGAGTTCTCCTATCCCAACAACAGCTAGAAAGCTCAAGCTACCAAAAATAGTATATGATAAATTCTTGTCTTGCTTTTCTGCCAGTTTAATCTCTCTACAGTTAGGAAAAACAGTGATAGATAGTGCTTCTCTGGGCTTAATTCTAATAAACTGCTGGGTGATGAAGTAGAAGTGACAGAAACTTTGGAAAACAGCAACCATGTCATTTTAGCAGGAGTAACAGCCAAACACAGCACAGTTAAGAAACAGAGGCTCCGGTCTTGATAAATCAAAATTCAAAAAAATAAAACTTCAAGTTAGAATTCCATAGCTAGCAGGAATATGGTTCAAGAAGGATACGAGGTTTTAAAGAATGAAATTCTGGTGAAGAGTAAAACAAGAATATGTAAAGAAATCAAGGTGACTAATTAAGGGTATCTGCAATGAATTCTGATTTTATAAAAAGAACTGCAGTACACATAACCAAGAGGAATCTAACCAGGAATTTTAGTATCAAGAAATTGAAAACTCAGAATAAGTGGAGGCTTGCAAAAATACTTTACAACATTTAAGAATGCTTTTGAAAGTCTGTTTAATTCAGGAAGAAAAGAGTATGCTTCTTGGGTGAGATGACAGACTGTTATATGGCAATAAAATAAGAGTTACCCGAATCTAGTTTCCATTTTCTCTGTGAATAATAATTTTTAAATAATACATAAATAAGTAAACATATTTAAAAGGAAACAAGTCCAAGATACCTGATTTGCTATTATAAGAATACTTAGCTAAAGAAAATAAATTGAAAAGTATCTTGACCAAGAATAGTAGCAAATCAAGATACTGATCACTATATCTAGGAATAATGGAGAATGGAAGCTATGCCAGAAAATTTGAATTGGGCAAATACTGGCCTGATTTTCAAAAAGGCAGAGAGAAAGAAAAACTGCAGAAATTACAGATGGCTTCTTGAGACCTATAGGGCAGCCCAGTGCATTCAGCACAGGCTCTGGAGCCACGCTACCTGGGTTCAAGCAGTGTGACTGTGGACACATTACTAATCTCTTTGCCTATCAGCTTCCTCATCTGAAAATGGAAATAAAAACAATATGAGCCTCATATGTTTGTTGTAGGCCTAAGTGAGTTGTTATATGTAAAGCACTTAGAATACTGATGGTATTTAGTGCTGTATAAATGATTGCAGCCGTAACTGTAATTACTGATTACTAGCAAAATGCTAGAACAGATGACTTGAGGAACTTAAAAATTTTAATGGTCATCACTAGAAAACAGTGTGGCTTCCCTAAGAGGGAGACATACCAAATTTCCTTACTGAAGGGTTCCTGGTGTAAGTGGTAAGGGAAATTCCATAGAGATAATGTTTAGCAAGAAATCTCAACAGATTTGCATAATATTTTTGTGAACAAGCCAGAGAACGAAGTGAGGATAACAGTACGATTCTATTCATAGCTGAGTGAACGCTCATACAGCAAAGTGCTAATTAATAGAATAAAATCGAGCCAGATCAACAACCAATACCAACTCGCGATGCATATGAATGAGCCACCCACGGAACAGATCCTCAGGCCCAGTCAAGCCTTCAGTTGGCTGCAGCCCTAGGCAACATCTCCACTGCAACCCGATGAGAGACTGCAAGCCAGAACTACTTAGCCAAGGCACCCTCAAATTCCTGACCCATAAAAACTGAGAGAGAGTGTTTACTAAGCAAGAAAAAAACTCAAGCTAAAACTCAGTCTAAAGGTATAACAACTCTGGTCCTGTCCTGTCTAAAATTTTCAGTGAAGACCCAGAAGACATATTTGTTGAATCTGTAGAAAGCATAATACTCAAAAAAAAAAAGCTAATAATGGATAGGACTGAAAAGAATTCAAAGGCCTGAACAATGACCCAAAGCTAATGAGATAAGCTTAATAAATACAAACATATCCTGCGTTTTGGTTTAGAAGAAGCCACTGCACAAGACACATTTGAGACAAACTGTATTTTATGTGAAACAGCTACATGTGGTTGTATATAATCAATTATAGAATGGATATCCTCCTCTACCCCCCCAAAAAACTAATATAATCTTATGCTGATTTACCAAGTCCCTAGTATTCAGAACAAAGGAGGTAATTAGCAAGCTATACTTCACACTGCTCAGTCAACACATGGAGACAGTGTGAAGTTTTAGGATATAGTCACATGTTGCTTAATGACAGGGATACATCCTGACAAATGCATTGATAGGCAATTTTGTCGTGAACATCATAGAGTGTACTTACACAAACCTAGGCACCTACGCTATATGGTACTAATCTTAGGGGACCACTGTCATATACTCGGTCTGTCATTGACCGAAATGTCATGCAGAGCATGACTGTACTAAGGAACAATAACAGATGAATGCATCTAGAAGAGAAATACAAGGCAGTATTGGGGCAAGAGGCAGGGACCGGAAAGCCTCTAGAAATCATATTATAGAAAGAATCGACGGGGTTGTCTCAATGGGGGAGGGAAAAAGTCTTGGATGGTGGGGATGTGACGTCCTCAAACATTCAAAGGATCATCATATGGAGTTAGTAGGGATTTGAGTTATTCTCACAAGAACAAAGAACAATGAGAGGCAGTTCCAGGAAGCTGCATTCTGTTTAAAACATGAAAGAATTTTCCAAAGTGTTCTAAAAGTAAGATAAGCTGCCCTATACTCTGCTTTAGCTTACTAAGCTTTTCACATACATTACCTACGTGAGGTGGACCTAATATCTTTTCTAATGGAGTGAGGAGTTACTTAAAGCTCATATTTAACTTCTATGTGTTTGCCTTCCCAAACAAATTATTTCTCTGCAGGTCTACAACTGAGTTAAATGTGCAGTGCATATTTGATCAGTGTTTTGAAATGTCACCAAGAATATGAGCATGTGTAAACATCATGTGAAGACAATAAATATTAATCTAAAACTCATTTTCTGGAAAAAAAAATTTTCCCCACCAGGCTAGAAAGTAACTACAATAAAAAGGAACTGGCTTTCTCCTTTCACAGGCTCTCCATACATGCCCTAAGAGAACCATGGTCTTTCATTTGCTCAAAGTTGAAGAAGGGTATTCAGTTGTAGAGGAAAGCTCCTGACTTTCAGAAGGTCATTCACTAGAGTTCCCCTTCCCACTTTGCTTTGGGAAAATAACCAATTAAAGCATAGAACATTAAAAAAACATCAAGTATGTACCTTAACATTTAACTCTTAACAAACTAAGAGGGAGAAGTAAAGGGCACTTTTTGCCCTAGTTTAGTTATCAATTATCAGTAAAAACACTACTCCCTTGTAATCCGTATCACTGACAATGGGAGTATGTGCAAAAGGATAAAAAACTTTGTGAGTTGAGGGAGAAGATGAAAATTAGACAGAGAAAACCTTGCTCATTGCTTCTGAGAAAATGTCTAAAAGAGGTCCAGAAATTCTGAACATTTTGTCATCTATAAAATGAAGGAGGTGGATTACATTAAGTTTAAGGTACCTTCCATCTCTAACATTTTGTATGCATATTCCCCTCAAAAAAAAAAAGGAAGCCAATAGGGATTATTATCCTTAATAATAACATTATCCTAAGGGGAAAAAAGCCATCTATAGGGCAAAGACGATTTTCAGTCAAAGGAATATAGTTGTGCTCCATTCAGCAGTGTGACTATCTGACATTATAAAACCTAGGAAGTTCCCTATTTCAGTTATGGTAAGCATTTTCTTTCTCACCATAACTTTCGTAGCTTGGGCTGGTTTCCACTGTACAAGTGTGACTCCACCACACAGCATAAAAACTGAAATCCACTGTAATTTGCTAAGTGTCCGGTTTAACATTAAAACAGTACATAAAGCAGTACAGGGAATCTTCAATTGGTAGGTCACCTAGAAACAAAACAATGAATTAATGAACTCAGTTAACATTAGTCTCTGACACAAATATATTATTTCTGATATCATTAATAGTATTATCAAGAAAAATGTTTGATAATGTGATAAAGGGTTAATAACAATCTTTTCACCATGAAAACATTTTTTAAGAGTCTATGCTTTTCGTTATCATTTCCTCCACTTACCTGGTACACTGCTGCATCCAAATTGCTAAGAGCTAGGAAAGCCATGTTGTTCTGAACAGCATACACTAATGATGGCACGCTTAACTTCATCAGTTCCCTGGGGCTTCCCAAGACATTTTCTCTTAAAGATGCCTTGAATCTACCCAGACTAGCAGTTTCTCTTTGAAAACAAAAGGGGAAAATGAGAAGTGGGTAAGGAAGAAAATTAAAGAGCATTCTTTGGATAAGATCCCTTCACACATAGGATAGCTATATTGTGTTAAGTACATTGATGTAATTTAGCAAACTTATTTTGTTTCAATAATTTTCAACTAATTCTAGCTATATTAAAGAAACATACCAATAATGTATCCTCATAAAGGAAAAACAATTACAAGTTCTGTTTGGGAAAATAGAACAACAATTAGGTTTACCATCAACCTCTGGTCAAAGCTCCAGGAATTTTTGAGTATATTAAATAATGAGATAATAGGAAATAAGAATTGCTAATATCACCTATAAAATATTAATTTAATTCCCTGCCACTTTAACTGCCATTACATCAAGTTCACCCTGATTTTTTTTGTGTGTGTGTGAGGGACATTAGCCCTGAGCTAACATCTGTCACCAATCCTCCTCTTTTTGCTGAGGAGGACTGGCCCTGGGCTAACATCTGTGCCCATCTTCCTCCACCATAGATGGGACACCGCCACAGCATGGCTTGACAAGCGATGCGTCGGTGCGCGCCCGGGATCCAAACCTGCAAACCCGTGGCCACCGCAGCAGAGCGCATGCACTCAACCACTACACCACCGGGCCAGCCCCTATTTTTTTAATTAATCAGGTTGCATATCCATTTTTTAAAGCTTTTTCTTTTATTACAATAGATTTAAATTGCAAACAAAAGACAAAGGCTTTGGTAGTTAGAGAAGTTACTTGGGATATGAATTGAGCGATTCAGGTCAATGTTATTTGCAAATTAGGTCAGTTCTTAAGAAATACAGTAGACAATAATCTTTAAATAACCATCCTCATAAAACTCAAGCACATATATGTATAATTTTGCAGCAAATCTGAATAACTTTCTAATAACAACAAAAGTAAACTATATCTGTAATGTACGTAAAGCTTACTACTTGACTGCATATTAATTATACATGCTGTTAATGATTCTTATTTTTCCTCAGGAGGAACTAGCTAATCTGGCTCATATTTCTCCCTGTTGTAAATCAGCTCATTTATTTCCTGAAAATAAAAACAAAACAGTATTTTATAATAAGCATGAACACCAAAAAAGTGCTTTATCAAACGAGTCTAACTGCAACTCACAATATCCTTAAAGAACACCATAACACTTTGTTGGGGAGATGGATCTATTTCAACTCAAAGTTTATGATAATCACAATGAGCCTCTATATTTTTAGTTAACATATTAGAATCAACAGTCATTAACTGAATTTTTTTCATATTTAAATAGTGTAAAACTAATTACCCAAGTTCTGAGGGGGAGCAAAAATTCCATAATCTCGAGTTGACTTCCTCTGCCTATCCACTGTAGAACACTCCAGCCCCAGAAAATGCTTAAGTAACACAGGAAATTTGGCCTAGGCCACAGAAACAAAACATATCTTTCTTAGTTACTGATCTTCTGTTGCCAAACAACACGCTCCATACCACAATGGTAAATGTATATGCTGAAAAGTAATGCACACAGCCTGGTGGGAGACTACAAACTCCACCCAGAAGAGGGAAAGAATACCAAAAAGATCACTCTACTGAGAAATGCTATGTAGTCGAGTTTTCCAGCTATCTGAAGAATGGCACTTTAAACTTCAGACATTCTCTTTTAAACTACTTTTGAATGCAAATCTAAGATGTCCTATATACTTTCTCGACATCTTAAACAGTATAAAGAATAATTTTTCAAAGTATGTTTTCCTTCAGTTATAAAATTGAAGAAAAAAATTAAAGAGAAAGAGAGAGATTAAAATAAAAAAGAAGAGGGGCCGGCACGGTGGCACGCGGTTAAGTGCGCGTGCTCTGCTTCGGCGCGGGGTTCAAGGGTTGGATCCCGGGAACAGACTGACGCACTGCTTGTCAAGCCATGCTGTGGCGGCATCCCATATAAAGTAGAGGAAGATGGGCACAGATGTTAGCCCAGGGCCAATCTTCCTCAGCAAAAAGAGGAGGATTGGCACAGATGTTAGCTCAGGGCTGATC